CTTGTGATCCTGAGAGAGAGAATTTCCCTCTCTACAGAATCTGGTGAGTGCTCTGTCATTAAAACGTTGGTTATTCTATCATATAATGTCCTGATTTCTACTTAAAAATCGACCTTTGTTGGCTTCACCTATGTTGATGTGCTTTTAATTTGAAAGCTCAAATTGTTTCAGTATGCTTAGGAGCACAAATAGTTAACTATTTAGCCATAACTCTTTAGAATAGTACAATTTTTTTAGAGTAAAGAAGTAGATTTCATTGATGAATGAAATAAAGGGGTAAAAACTCCTAACACCAATCGGTGAATTACATGAATGTTCTTCAATTGGAGATAAAGAAAGAAAGACTGTAATATAAAGGGATGACCCATTGGACAATAAATTGAACCTTATTGTTTCTTTGTTCATTTTTTTTTAACAAGCTTGAATTATTGATCTATTTAGTAAAACTTTGATAGCAAGGCCTAAAATAAATCATACTTTAGTCTCATTTGATCATGTTTTAGGATTTTTGAGGTTGACTATGTGATATAAATTTTGGAAAAACTGAACTGGTTAGATTATTAGTTTTACAATAAGTTCAATACTAAGAGAGTCAAAAAGCTTCAGCATTTAGATGTTATTTTGAGTTAGATGTTATTTCTAAGCAAGAACGTTACTTTGTCACAGATAAAAACGACAAGGCATCGACTATTGAATACTCTCAGCAACCAAGTGAAAATATGTATGGTGCTGAAGCCACCAAACATTATTATCAGGTGTCCCATCTTCCTTTTCTTTCATGCTGCCATATGTTTTCTGGTTTTGGCTTCTTTGAACCTGGCGGTATATGCCTTGGTTCTTGAAATTCTGCATTTAACTTCTCTTGTCGATGACATAGGAGTCTGCTTCAGCACAATTCCATCAGAGTATCCCTAGCACCACATACAACGATAACTATTCCCAGACTGCATATACGGGGAGAGGATACACTGCTCCTACACCATATCAGCCTGCAGCACAGCCTAATTTATTTCTTCCATCACAGGCGCCACAGGCTCCAGAGGTATACAAATCTATTAGAGTCGAACAAGGACACATAAATCCAATGAATTTAGGCATAATTAAAATTAGGCTTCAATGACACTATGGAATTCATATATAACATTTGATTAATCCAAAACAGTCTTAAAAAATGTAAATGAACTCATAATACTAAGCTGAAAAATTATTTAAAAAATGTAAAATCGATGAAACTGTAGCATTTTCCTTCTAATTGTTATCGTCTCACATTAGTCTAGTATTGTCCTGCCATATCTTTGGTGGAATGCCAGTCGTTGGGATTTTCTTGGGGTGCAATGCCCATGTAATTTTAAGGATGATTAATGGTATCTGCGTTGTCATTCTATGTAAGATATTGCTCTTGATGATGCTTGAAGGTCTTTTAGGAATTGGGTTGTCTGACAATAATAATTTGTTTTTGGTTTTAGACAAATTTCACTGCACCCCCTGCTCAGCCTGCTTCGAGGCCATTTGTTCCTGCAACACCTCATGCTTTGAGAAATGTGGAAAAATATCAACAGCCCACTTTGGGTTCTCAGTTGTACCCTGTTCGTAATTCTTCTTCATTGATGAGTACTTAAAATCCTACCACTTTTAGTGTAAAATATTCTTTTTCTTGATTATGTAATAATTGTTTCTCAAATATTTTAGGGAACTGCAAACCCTACTTATCAACCTATACAATCAACTGCTTCAGTTGGTTCTGTCCCATCACACATGGACCCAGTTCCTGGGCATACAATGCCTCAGGTTGTGGCTCCCGCTCCTCCATCAAGGGGATTCATGCCAGTTCCTAATCCAGGAACTGTTCAGCTTCCTGTTATGGGTTTGCCTCAGCCACCCAGCCCTCCTACACAATCTACTCCAACACAGCCAGCGCTAACAGCTCCGGCCCCACCACCAACCGTGCAGACTGCTGATACTTCAAATGTACCTGGTAATTGTTCGTTTTACTTAACTAATTGTTTAACAGAAAAATTTTTATTTGTGATCCTGTATCGATTTTTGGTTTTTTATATTTGACCACTAATATGAACGTCGTTTGGATTTCTCCAAAACCATGCTGGGGATTTTAGATGCGGCCTTTAATGTTTTCAACATTGGATTAGCCCTGAACAAGGACTAATGGCTAACGTTATAAGGTGTCATGAAAACTAACTTCCAGATGCGGCCTCTATACCTGCAGTGCAGCTGCTCTCAGTTGGTTCACGTATTGAATGATTAATGCATTCTTGGTTTTGTATCTCATAGAAATTATGAAAAATAAAAAACCACCTAGGATTAAAAAATGTTTTTTACAGAAAGGCGATAGAAATTAGAACACAAGTATAAATTCTGCTATCAATTTCCGGTAATTTATGCTCATTTTGTACGCACATTTATATTTAGATACAATAATTGGTTAACATCTGCAGCTCATCAAAAAGCTGTGGTAGCAACGTTGACTAGACTTTTCAACGAGACCTCAGAAGCATTGGGAGGCGCCCGTGCAAATCCAGGTAAGAAGCGGGAAATTGAAGACAACTCGAGGAAGATAGGTGCATTGTTCAGCAAACTGAACAGCGGTGATATATCTAAAAATGCTGCTGAAAAGGTTGGTCAGCTCTGCCAGGCTCTGGATGCTGGCGATTATGGCCGTGCCTTACAAATTCAGGTACTTGTTATATGCAGTTCTTACTAGTTTGTTTTGTCCAAATCCAGAACGAGATAAATTTATCTACCGCTACGCATAGGTTCTTCTTACGACAAGTGAATGGGACGAGTGCAGCTTCTGGCTGGCTACGCTGAAACGAATGATCAAGACGAGGCAGAACATGAGGTTGAGTTAGGGAAGACACATGATAGCCATTTCTGGTTTTTTTTTTTTTTTCTCTCTTTTTTGGAAGTTATTTTCCTTTCTTATAGCTCTACCCTTCTTGTGCCACCAATCCTTACACACACACACACACACACACACATTCACAAGAATGGCGTCCCTTGATGATTGCAGCTTCCGGATTTTGCCCCAATGTTCTCCTCTATGATCTTGTCTGGTTTCAAATTGAAAGAGTTAGCTCTCAAGTATAACTGATTGTTGTTCTTATTTTGTAGTTTAGAATTGAGGAGAAAGTCCCATTTTGAATGAATTTATTTTTCTTCATTTTATAAATGCATCCCTGAGCCGTTTGTTAGCTTGCATAACCTCCGTCCTCGTTAGAGTGTCTTCTTTCATTGTACCTTCCATTGACATATCCTAATTTTGTTAAAGGTTGAATTTAAAACTTCCCTGCCTTTATCCTTATTTTCTTAAACTTGGTTTTCTAGAAATGATGATAGCTCATGTCTTTCATTGAATAAATGACTCAGAAACAGCCTAATATAATTTTAATTTGGTGCCTTGTCTGAAGTGGGCGCACTGTTTTGTGGACAATACGGTTTGGAAACTACAATGAATCAATGAGAACAATATGAAAGAGATGAAAGTTCTTTATAGGGCGCACGTCTCGTTTTGACAACCTTTTCTTTCGTTGTTATAAATATTCTCTTGTTCTCGTTCTTAGCAGCATTATGAGGTAACGTGTAAGTTTATGATAACTTTTTAAATCTTGTTATATTATCTCTATTCGAATGCTTTACTTGTAAATGTAGCCTCTCTCTTCTTCATAGTTACAAGTAGTTGTTAGGTTAATTATTGTTGTTAATATGTAATTAAACAAGATGTCAAACGTCCCAATGATATTTAAAAAGGGGCAATTATTGGATCTAAAGTCAAAAAGAGGAGAGGCATGTGCACCACTTTTGAACACAAATTAGGTGTCAAAGCCTTGAGAAGTGGAAGGGGAATATTCAAACTCTTGCTTTTGGCTAATGCCTTACACCCACAGCCTTCATACAATTCTTCAACTTCTTTGGGGTTTTTTTCCATTTTCTTAAATTTATCCATTGTCTTTTAGTATTTAGCTATAACTAGGGTTTGCTTGTTTTTTTCTTTCTAAAAAGAGAGATTCAAATTAAAATAAATTGAAGGACCGTTTTCATTATAATGAGAAAACAACACCACCTATAACCGAACATAATTGAATAGTAAAACATTATCACCTTAACTGTAGTGATTGATTTGATTGATTTCTAATATAGTACTCGAAAAGACTAACTTTATTTACTTTTTATTTATTGCTTCGTGGTTTAAAGAATCCATCCAAGATTTAGGAAAAAGAAGTTTTCGAAAAGATTCAATTTGACAATTTTGGCGAATGGAAAATGGTGGGGTTGTGGGGTTGTGATGTTTTTTAATAAGACAACTACGTCTTATTAGACAATATGAAAATGTTGGGATATCAATACCTTAAATTTTGCAGCTTTTCTTGACGAGTCAAAAGTAGCCGACGAGTCAAAAGTAGCCCCTTTAATCACGGATGGAAATGGGGTGTTTTAAGAGGGAAAATGTTACGAAATAACATGAGCAGAACCAATAGTATCTTCAACCGCTACAACTACATAGTATACACTACCCACACAAATATAATTCATTAGTTAAGATATATGTTCTTATTCGTCTTTTAAGGTCATAAGTTTTAAAATCCTAGCGATCAAATATTAGGTGTCTTTTATAGACGTATAACAATTTGCATGATTTTAGTGTCCAAGTCCTCAAGTAATTGGTAGAACAACTATCAAACGCCTTCTTAATCGAAGTTTCAAGAAAGGAAGTACGAGTATAGTAACTAGCAAATCAAGAAAGCAAAACCCTTATGAGATAGGTACAGGATTAAGGAATGGTCGTGAATAAACTTGCTTATAGCTACGGCTATCATCTAAGTAAATCTAAAAACGAAATCTAACTAAATGCACTTAAAAAATAAATCAGTGGGGCATCCCAAATCCACCACTAGTAGATATTATCCTCTGTGTTCTCTCCCTTTTGGGCTTCCCCTCAATGCTTTAAAACGCGAGTCTACTAAAGAGACATTTTCATACCCTCGTAAAGAATGTTTCGTTCTCCTTTCGAGATCTCGCATGTGACTACGTTCATCACGTCGGTAAGAAACTTCACAAGTTGGTATGAAATCATCAAAATCAAAGCACACACATAGTGAGGACATTACAAGTCAACAATTGGGTGAAGCTGGTTGTCAGTTTCTATATGTTTTCTTGTGTTTGGACAAAAGAGGATCCTTATTCTCCTCAAAGAACTGTATCCTTTGGACCAAGCAATCACCTCCTTTGCCTTCATATTCACCCTGCAAACTTTTCCAAATGGAAAATAATGGAATTGGAGAACACTGAAAGCCTTTATAAGCTTTTTTTAGCGATGATTCGAGATCGAGATTAGTTCTTATTTGAAACCCCTTTTCGTTACACATTATGAATGTATGTAATTTCATGTTTTTGGTTTCGAGGTTTCGTAGTTTCTATTCTTGGAGAATCTTTAAGTTTTGTAGTGATAGGCTTTTGGTTTTAGCACACCTCGATTGATCACGAGACGACAACTACATCACATATCGTTTCGAAACTCGAGTACCGTAGCTTAAACTCAATGACTTCATTCAAAAGAATCTTTATCATGAATATAAAGACTCAATTTACCAGACCATATGAACAATCAGCAATCAGTCAAGAACATAATCAACAAATAAGAGGGAACATCAGCAATGTGCCCATGATCTATAATCAACCATGCTTGAGATGATCATTAGATTAAGAACTCAAAAGAAAATCAAGCAGCCAAAAATTTACCTCACAAGTCAGCCAGCCAAGCTCTGATGCAGTGTCAGATAGTTTATTGAATTGAACTGTGTGTGTCATGAACAGGTTGATCATTTGAATCTACAAGAACATAACTCAGAAGCTTTCACTTTGCTTCCAATTCATGATTCTTTCCGCTAACGAATCTCGAACTAAAGAACCGGTTCGAGAATCTCGAATGAGACCTGACATGGTTAGCCTCGGCCCGAAAACCAGAATCTTCGTCAATACAAGCCATGAGATCCATTAAGTTACTACTGATCCCCAAGTCAGAGTATACTCTCCTCGAGTTCTTAATGTCTCGCCACAACGTTTGTGCATCCACATCCCCATCTTCAACACTACGACGTCTCAAATTCAACTGCGAGCTCCTCGTTTCCACCGGCCTTCCGACGGTCTCCACCATCAAACATGGATTGTTGAAGCCATTCCAGGAATGAAGAGGAACCAGTTTGCTCAACCCAGTAAGCCAAAGAACCACATCTTTCATGGAAGGCCTCCTCTCCCTACAAGACCTCACACATTTAGCAGCAATCACAGCCAATTGCTTTGTAACAATGGGGTCTTTAGGAGGAGCAATTCTAGGATCATAAATGGCCATTAACTTCCCTTTCTTAATAAGAGGAACAGCCCAATCAACAATGGAAGGAGGGGAATATCCAACATCTATAGCCTTCCTTCCACTAATAATCTCTAACAACAAAATCCCAAAGCTAAACACATCAGTTTTAGTACTCAAATTATCAGGGGTCACATAACAAGGATCAAGGTACCCCATGGTGCCCGCCGGGGGCGTCGACCGGAGTCGATAATCATCGGCATAGCCCTGAATGGCCAACCCGAAATCCCCCAACCTAGCATTGTAATTCCTGTCAATCAACACATTGGCAGACTTGATATCTCTATGAATTACAGGGGGGTTTGAAGCATGAAGAGTTTCAATGGCCTTAGCAGTTTGTAAAGCTAATCTAATCCTTCGACCCCAATAAAGAGGTCTGGAACCTGAATGAATCACATCATAAAGCGTACCATTACACATAAATTCAACAACAAGAAGCCTATCTTTGGAATCATTTGTAAAACCCACCAAATTCACCAATCTAGGGCTCTGAATTTTGGACAAAATCTCGATCTCATTATCAACCTCGTTGGTGATTTCACAAGACGCCATTGACGAAGCCATCGAAGGAGCAATCGCCTGAGCTCGAGAGGGCTTCTTGACCGCAACAAGACGACCACCAAGAACAGCTTTATAGACATATCCATGGCTGCCTTTTCCCAAAAGCTTCTGATCGGAGAAGCCATTAGTAGCAGCCTCAAGATCACTGTAATCAAACTGTTGGATCTTAATGGGTTTCTTCTCTAATTTGTGCGACGAATTTCTCGAAGATGACGGGGTCAACGAATTCGAAGTCGAAATCGCAGATTCCGCGCGGCAAGAAAGGTAACCCATCAAATCAAATAATCGATTCACAGAGCTTTGAACAAGAACAAACTGCTCCTTGGCATTTAAGAGATGGGTTTTTGGGTTTTTTGAGCTCTGAGGATTGGAAATGAAAATGGTTATGTAAGAGAGAAAAGAAGAGAAGAAATGGAATGAAAACCGCCGTTGAATCAGAAAATTGTAGTCTAATGAAGAAGAAAACAAAACCCATCAAATCCAACTCATTTCCTTATATACTGTATTTGATTCTCACGTTTCCACTCAAAATTTGGAATTTTTCTTAAAAAAAAGGGAAGAATCATCCAACTTTTGAAGTTTAATTATAAAAAATTTGATTTTACCTATACTTTGTCCATTAACATGTATTTTAAGGAGGAAGGCATCTCTTGATTATGATAGGAGTGATCGAGGGGAAAACAAAACTTTAAATAATTTGAATCATTATAACCTAAACATCACCAAGTATCATTCCCATCACTTCATTTTTTTTTTAATATTTGCCCTTCACACCCATTAAATTAGGGTTCCGGTTAGTTCATGGTACAAGATTACATGAAAAAGACTAGAATACTTGTTCCAATCTTCAAAAAGATCGTATTATCCAATTTTAAGTAAAACACTTTATATCTCAACAAACATGCCTTTAGGAGTGTACATTCAACCCGACAACCCGGATCAACCCAACCCGAACTATAAGGGTTGGGTTGGGTTGAAATAGGTTCGATTTCGAGTTCGTGAGCAAAGCTTTCGAGTTCACTTGAGCCAAAAAAAAAAAAAATATTTGTTTAATTTCTTTTATATTATTTTATTATTTTATTATTTTATTATTTTTAATTTATATTATTCAATTATATATATATTTAATTAGTTTCTCTTATTATTTTTAATTTCTTTGTTTAGTATATTATATATAATTCTAATGCATGTATTTATTATCTATTTGTTTCAACATTATTATATTACAATTTATATATTTTTTTATTTTTCTAACCGTTTAGGGTTCTCTATAATCACGAGCATATTTCAATTAAAATATTTTTATATATTTTTTATTTTTGTTATGTACAATATTTTTAAACTAATCATTTTTATTGTTTATTTAATTTCATGATCTATCTTATATTTTTGTTACTCTAATCAATTTTCAAAAAAAAAATCTTTCAATTTTCTTGTTTTTTATTGATTTTTTTTCAATAATTATAGATTGATGTGTGTTTATTTGTGAACTCTTAATATATTTTTTGTATCCAAATAATTATAAATCGGAGATAAATAAAACTTTAAAAAAATGCAACCAGCCCGAACTTTTAGATTGGGTCAAAAAAATCTCCCAACCCGAACCATGTACACCCCTATGTTCAATAAGTTATGGTTATGTTGTATTTAGTTGACTTCACTCGTTTAATAAAAGAAAAGTTGTAATAGCTAAAGCCCACCGCTAGCAGATATTGTCCGCCTTGATCCATTATGTACCGTCATCAGCCTCACAATTTTTAAAACGCGTCTATTAGGAAGAGGTTTCCAAACCCTTGTTGCTTCGTTCCCTTCTCCAGCCGTTAACGGTTAAGGAATCTCAATAATTTTATAAAATTAAATGAGTTTAAGTTGGTCGGTTGGAATTATGGGCTTTTGACAGTCCAAAATATGCAATGGGCTTCAAATTTTTGCAGCCCATAGCTTAGCTGTTTTCTTTAATATTTATTTATTCTTATTTTTTCGTTTTAAAAAAATGATTCATTTAGCAAAGGTAGGTTTTACTTATATTTATTTATAAAACAATTTGAACAATATTTTTATGTTTTGAACGTATTTCGATTTAAAAATGAATAATTATATTTTAAAAAAATAAAGATTTGTTTAATTAACATATAATATAAATTATATAATATTGTAAAATAATTATTATAAAAAGTTTATTACATAAAATATGTTTATATGGTAACCAGTAATAGTTGGATTATTTTTAATTGTTTATTTGTGGAAAATTAAAAAAAGAAAAAAGAAATTAAATCTATAAAATTGCATAATAGGGCCTGGTGTTAACCCCCTCCAGTATCATTTCAATTTCTAGAGAGAGAAACGGAGCTTTAGAGAGAGAAAAATGGAGGGAGAGATCCTGAACTTCATCAAGGTCTGGTTAACAGTCTGTATCTCTCTCTGTTACTGCCATGCCACCGGAAAACTTATCCCTCCTGGCGCCGGCAGGTTCCTCGCGGTCGCCCCCATCGTCGTCCTCTTCTTTTTCCTCCCTCTGCAACTCACCTCCATCCACCTCGGCGGCTCTACCTCCTTCTTCATCGCTTGGCTCGCCAACTTCAAGCTCCTCCTCTTCACTGCCGGCGATGGCCCTCTCTCCGCCGAACCGCCGCTCCCTCTCCGCCGATTTCTCGCTCTCTCTTGCTTGCCGATCAAGATCCTCCAAAACGAGAAATCGTGCCCTAATAATAATCGATCCGATACAACCCTAAAACCTAAATCGTTCCTCAACTACTCGATTAAAGCCGTAATCGTTGCTCTGATGGTGAAATTGTACGATTACTCTGAGTTTATTCACCCGAAAGTTGTTCTGTTCATCTATAGTTGGCATCTTTACTTTCTTCTCGAGATTATATTAGCCATTACGCAGTTTTTCGGCCGGAACGTTCTCGGAATCGAGTTGGAGCCGCAGTTTCAAGATCCGTATTTCTCGACTTCGCTTCAGGATTTTTGGGGGCGGCGGTGGAATCTGATGGCAACGAACATTCTTCAGCCGACAGTTTACAAGCCGTCGGTGAAGATCGCTGCTAAGGTAATCGGGCGTAAGTGGGCACCGTTGCCGGCGGTGATGGCGACGTTTTTAGTATCGGCGATGATGCACGAACTGATATTTTTCTATATGGGCCGAATGAGGCCGAACTGGGAGTGTACTTGGTTCTTTGTTATCCATGGCGTTGCTTTAACGGTGGAGATTATGGTGAAGAAGGTGTTGCCGGAGAAGTGGCGGCTGCCGCCGGCAGTGTCAGTGCCGGTGACTCTGGCTTTCATCTTCCCGACTGCGATTTGGTTGTTTTTCCCGCAGTTCGTGAGGCTGAAGTTGGATGTGAGGGCGTTTGAAGAGTACGCCGCGTTGGTCACTTTTGTAAAGAACGTCGCTTTCTCATTGGTCGGTTGATTTATTTTTGTTTTCTTTTTCTAAATAACAATTTAAAAATGTCACTGGCACCGCCAGTAGCAGGTGGTAATAAAAAATTTGCAAAACAGGGGCTGACACAGCTTTTACTGCTCCACGTGTTATAACACGCCTTTTAATGACCACTGATTTAATTAACTGGTTAATTGAAAAAATTAGCAGTAATATACTTTAATTAATTAAAATTTTCTCATATGCACCACACGATCATTAATTAAAATTTATTTCACACGTTTTAACTGAAATAAATGAGGTCGTGGTCTATTGATGACCACTTTCTTTGCAGATTCAGAGAATACAACCTTTCCTTAAAATATATTTTAATCTCTTATTTTATATATTATTTATGAAATGATTTTGTTTATTTTAAAATTAAAACTATAGCGTTGTGAGAGTAATTAATTAATAAAAGATCTTTGTAATCATATTATTTAATGTTTTTGGCAATATTCAATTTGATCTAGTGTATTAAACATTTGATTAAACCCTTATAATATTATTTACAATTACCTACGTGGTCGGATAATCATATATTAAGGCACTACTTTATTAGCACTAAACAATATTATATGACACAAATAGAGAAGAGTTGTGAAGAAAAAACCATCGGGAATCGGCAGGCGGAGCTCCGGCGAGGTGTGGAAGAATGGAGGATGAGATTGGGAACTTGTTGAAAGTGTGGATTTCGATATGGATCTGTTTGGGGTATTGCTACGGCGTTGGCAAGAAAATTGGAGAGGGATTTACAAGATTTCTCTTAATTTTCCCTGTGATTTGCATCTTCCTCTACCTTCCCCTGAAACTACACTCCCTCCATCTCGGCGGTCTCACCGCGTTTTTCGTTGCTTGGCTCGCCAATTTCAAGCTCCTCCTCTTCGCCGCCGGTCAAGGCCCTCTGGCCACCACCGGGATGTCTATCGGTATGTTTAATCGTTTCTTCATGTTCTTAATTCTGTTTCTTAAATTCCCACCAAACTCAAGAAATTCTACTCTTTCCGACAGCTGAATTCTGCGCAGTGGCTTCCTTCCCCATCAAAATTAAGCAAATCCTGCCTCAAAAAAGCTCAGAACCAGCCGGCAACGGTGGAGCAGCCACCGTAATTGATCCAAAATCCAACCAGAACCACTGCGAATCGCCATTTAACTACGCCGTCAAGATCTTGCTCGTGGCGGCGCTAGTCAAGGCCTATGACTACACCCACATTCTCCATCAGAAGCTCGTCTGGTTCCTCCTCTGTTTCCACATCTACTTCATCCTCGACCTCAGCTTCGCCGCCGCCTCTGCCGCCGTTTCCCACGGCGGTACCATCGAGCTCCTCCCCCTCTTTCACCATCCCTACCTCTCCACTTCCCTTCAAGACTTCTGGGGACGCCGGTGGAACCTCGCCGTCACCGGAATCCTCCGTCCCGTCGCATACCGCCCTGCCGTCTCTACCGCAACGAAACTCATCGGCCCCCGGTGGGCCCCACTAGCCGGCGTGGCGGCGACATTCCTGGTGTCGGCGGCGATGCACGAGTTGATGTTCTTTTACATGTCTCGTCAGTGGCCGCCACCGACGTGGGAGGTGGCGGCGTTCTTCGTCCTGCACGGTGGGTGTCTGGCAGTGGAAATGGTGGCGAAGAGGCTGTGGATCGATGCGTGGAAAATGCCGCCGCTACCGGCAGTGGTGTCAGTGCCCGTGACGGTGGGATTCTTCTTCTGGACGTGCTTTTGGCTGTTCTTTCCGCCGTTCATCAACACGTGTAAGGCTGACGTCAGGGTAGTTAAGGAGTACGAGATCTTTGGCGCGTTTCTGAAGAATATATATTATGGAAATAAAAATATATATTTATGGTGAAATTACAAGTTTGTCCAACATGAGCCCCATTTTTTATTAATAAAATTATATATATGCTCATTTTAAATATTTATCATAATTTATTTATTTATTTTTATTTTTTATTTTATTTTCTTTAGCATGAAAATATATTTGAGAAGTAACTAATAATTATAAAAGAATGTTTCGTTCTCTTCCCCAATCGATATGAGATCTCACAATTAAACCCCTTCGAGGTTCAACGTTTTCGTTGGCATTCATTGCCTTGTCCAATTAATGTGGGACTCCTCAATCCACCTCCTTCGGGGTCCAACATCCTTGGTTAGCACACTGCCCCGTGTCTACTCTTTTGAGGCTCAGTCTCCTATTGTGATATTCTACATCAATTGGAGAGGAAACGGAAGCATTATTTATAATTGTGTAGAAACCTTTCCCTGACATGTTTTAAAACCTTGTGAGGAAAGTTGAAAGAGAAAGTCTTCGCTTATTATTTGGGAAAATAATTTTTTATTCAAATAAATATTTGGAAACTTACAAAATCGGTAGCCTGTCATTTGAGACCAAACAAATTATTGAAAAAAAATTAATTGTGTGCAACCTCATACAAATAAAAGAAAGTCAAAAGTCAAGTAGAGCTGGAAGATTTATTATTTTTTAATATTATTTAATGAGTGTTTTTTTTTTTTTTTAATATTTAACCATTTTTTTTAATAATCATGCAAAAGAATAAGTATATTATAAAAATAAAATATATTTATAAATAGGATCCCTCCTATATTTTATTTTTCAGAAGAATTAATCATTCATCTATTAAAGAAATATTTAAATTAGAAAAAACAGAACTAAAAATGACAACCTACCTCCAAAATCACTGCATTGCTTAATTTGATGGATAAATAAATAAAATTATTAGTGTTTAAATTACACGTTGGTCTTATTTTTATTGTGTACCTTATGAGTGTGTTTAGATCCGCTAAGGCAACCACTTGGATGTTTTTCTAATCCCACACTGGGACGGATTGGTGGAATGGCAGCATCTCGTTGCAAGGCTCATTTTCAATTGTTGGTCATAGAGAGGTTTATTTGATCAAGGGTCGGGGAACAAGGATCCTAGTACTATCAAGGTGCGACAGAGGGGTCAAAAAATCAAATGATTTAATTATCGCCCTACAATTGATGAACTAAACACGTTACGTTTCTTATCACTACTTTGATCCCACTAAACCCTATTGAACTTATTCGGAACGATGTATGCCTCAAAAGGTTAATGAACTATCATGCACGTTGTATCACTAAAGCTGACTCTCGTCCCTTAAATAAAGAAAAAAAAAGAGTAACGTGGTGTTTTAAGCCTAATAAAAAATTATTAAGAAGCATTGCGTCATAAACACATAAAAACAGATCTCCGTTCATATTAAAAGGGAAGTGCATCAGAGGAAGAAGAAGAAGAAGAAGAGGCCACCATTTTTGAAGTCTTATTCAATCTCAAGCTTCTCGGATTCTCCATTAATGGCGGCTGAGATTCTGATCTTCCTTCAAACTCTGCTTCAGGTTTCATCGTCCCTCTGTTTCTGTTTCTCAATTAGAAACTCAATCCCCAATGGATTCCTCAAATTCCTCTTAATCCTCCCTTTCTTCCTCCTCTTCCTCTACATTCCTCTGCAATTTCAAACCCTACATCTTCAGGGCGCCATCGGCTTCTTTATCGGCTGGCTTGCCAGTTTCAAGCTTCTCCTCTTCGCATTCGGCAAAGGCTCTCTCTGCTCCGCCGCCGCTTCCTCCTCCCTCAGCCGCTTCCTCCTCGTCGGTTCTCTGCCGATCGACATCTACGATCACGACCCAGATTCGACCCGACCCGATACCACTTCGGTTCTTCCTCTGAGCTTATCGTCAAAATTGTTCTTCCTAATTCTCTCCATCGCAGCAATCTATTGCAAGAATTACTTCCATCCAAACGGAACCCTAATCGTTTTCTGCTTCGTAATTTACCTCCTCCTTGAAATTGTCCTCGGCGGAGCCGCCGCCGTTGCCAAGGCAACGCTCGGAGTCGAGTTATTGCCCTGTTTCGACGAGCCCTATTTATCTTCTTCGTTACAGGACTTTTGGGGTCGGCGATGGAATTTAATGGTCTCCAGAATCCTCCGCCTCTCCGTCTACGATCCATGCCGGAATTTCGCCGCGGCCATCGTCGGGAGGAAACCGGCGGCAATAATGGCGATGACGGCGACGTTCGCCGTCTCCGGTCTGATGCACGAACTGATATACTTCTACATGGGGAGACTGGCGCCGACTTGGGAAGTAACTAGTTTCTTTCTGGTACATGGATTTTTTTTGGCGGTGGAGATGGCGGTGAAGAATGCAGTCGGCGAGAGATTCCGGCCGCCGCGAATTGTGACGGTGCCGCTGACGATCGGGTTCGTGATGGTGACGAGTTTTTGGCTGTTTTTCCCGCAGTTTTTCAGGTTTAAACCGGACGTTAGAATGTTTGAAGAGCACGCGGCTTTGGGCGCGTTTGTTAAGAATGTGGCGGGCGAGTTGATCACATCCGTCAAACTCATCTCATTTCAAGTTAAATAATTGTTTTTACATTTTCAAGGAAATAAATAAATAAATAATTGGATTAAATTGTACTTGTTACAAAATGTGTAATATTTAATCTTTTATTTTTATAAATATTAAAAAATATATGTAAACATTAGTTCGAGAAATTAATCTAATTTTATCTTAAGCTTTTAATTAATTTATTTAAATCATAGGTAGGCATGAACCGGTCAAAGCGTCCCTGAACCGGACTGGAAAAAACCGCTTTTGAATTTTTTGGGTTTTATAATTATGAAGCAAATCAAGATCGAAATGGATGAGAATCCTATCCGCCAACGCGAGCGCGGACATTTGCCCATCTGGGTCATCGAAAACGATCTCTTCTAAGCTAACCCATTTCCCTATTTTCTCTCATCTGTCTCTCTGAAATGGGTGTTTTTTCTTCCCCTTCTATAAGCCATTATCCCATGGCTCGTCCTTGCAATCTTGGCTCCCTTTCCCGTCATGGGTTCTCTTCTCTTTCCCTTAAACCTCCTGCTTTCTCTACTGGAGACAAGAGATTTCATGGGGTTGGCCTCATAAGAGCCTCTGTTGCTGTGGAGCAGCAGGCAGAGAAGACCAAGGTCGCTCTCGTCAGAATTGGCACCAGGGGAAGGTGATTTTTTGGATTTGCTTTTGGTTTGATGTTTCTGGGATGTCTTTAGTTTCTAATTTTGAGTCTGCGGCTGATTTGAATTGATAGTGTGGGGCTTTCATGTGGCATTGAATTGATGGTTGGATGGTTTGGATCAGTTCAAGTTTCAACTGTGATTTGTTTTTGATATCTTGTAGAATTGTGAAAATTTTCAGTATAGTTATCATGTTTGCACTTAATCAACTATTCTGGTGCTGTCTAGACTTTCATGTGTTATTCTTATTCAGCTGAACAAGTACTTTTCTTGCTGCCTCTTTATGGGGAGGAGTGAAGGAGAGGTCCTTATAGGAGGTGTGAGGGCTGGTGAGATTTAATACGTTTCTATAGGCGTTTGTCACTCGAACCTTTTGTAACTATCTGTCCGGTCTTGTGCTTTTGGATTGGAGAACGTTCTTGTAGGTCAACGAGGATTCCTTTGTGGGATTGTTTTTCGTACGTCCTTATAATTTGTTTGCTTATCGAGAATGGAATTGCATTCTTTTTGTGATTGTAAATATAACAGCACAAGCCAATGCTGGACCTTGAAGGGGGTGGATTGTGAGATCCCTCATCGGTTGGGGAGGAGAATGAAACGTTCTTTGTAAGGGTGTGGAAACCTCTCCCTAACAGATGTATTTTGAAAACTTTGAGGGGAAACTCGAAAAGGAAAGCCCAAAGAGAACAATATCTGCTTATCAAGAACACTAAAGGGTGGACAATGAACCTAATAAAAGAAAAGAAGATGCCTCCCTCAAAACGGTGGAGAACGTCCCCGCTCGCCTTTTATTTGCTCGACTTTTGAATTGATTCTCAGAAAAACTATTCATCATGTTTCTCATGTCATCAATCAAATCAGGGCAGTGGTGTTGTTTTACTTTTAAGATAATTGTTAGGATCCAATCTGCTGCGGTTAGAGTTGAATGAGATCTTTATTAGAAGAGCATATTTTTGCTGGTAGGAACTAAGGGGCTTGTAATTTTCTCATCGAAACCTCGAACTACATGTGAGAACCCACATTGGTTGGGGAGGAGAACGAAACATTTTTTATAAGAGTGTGGAAACCTCTCCCTAACAGACACGTTTTAAAACCTTGAGGGGAAGCCCAGAAGAGAAAGCTCAAAGAAGACAATATCTGCTAGCGGTGGGTTTAAGCTGTAACACTACAAGCGTATAAACATAATCTACTTCATTCTCTAGCTGGTTATATGCTTGTTTGATCTAAATCTTGTGCTGGATTGCTTTATCTTCTGGTGTGTCATATGCATTTTTCTGTGTAGGACAGCCCATTAGCACTTGCCCAGGCTCACGAGACGAGAGAAAAACTCATGGCTATCCATCCCGAGCTAGCCGAAGATGGGGCCATTCAGATTGTTATAATCAAGACAACTGGTGACAAAATACTCTCTCAGCCGCTTGCAGACATTGGTGGGAAAGGACTATTTACTAAAGAGATCGATGATGCACTTATTAATGGTGACATAGACATTGCTGTTCACTCGATGAAAGATGTACCGACTTACTTACCCGAAAAAACAATCCTCCCATGTAATCTACCAAGGGAAGATGTCCGTGATGCATTCATTTCTTTAAGTGTCGGGTCACTCGCTGAGCTTCCAGCTGGAAGTGTCATTGGTACAGCTTCACTGAGAAGAAAGTCTCAGCTTCTGAATAGATATCCATCCCTCAATGTAAGTATGTTGCGTTGCTTAATCGAGAAATGTCTAACATCACTTCGAGAGTTGATAAGTTATTGATCTAAGCATATAATGAGTGAAGTTGTGTAATGGCCCAAGCCCACCGCTGGCAAATATTGTCATTTTTGGGTTTTCCTTTGAGTTTCTCCTCAAGGTTTT